CAGGCAGGGCAGCTGCCGGCACGGGAGGGACAGATGCTGCCACCACCACTTGTGCACTCCCAGGGGCCCTAGGGACAGGGAGGCACAGCCAGCAGAGCTGGGAAAGGCTGGTGTCAGGGAGGTGATGGACACATCCTGGCAACAGGGTCCCTGGGGGTGGGCACTGCCCGTGTGGGGTCACTGGCCCCTTCTGGGCATCCTGCTGGTGGGGGGTGATGGGTCTCCTGGGGCTGCTCCAAGCTCTTGCAGCCACTTTTGGGCTGGAGCAGGAAAGCACAGCACAGAGTGACTGTGTCCCCCAGCCATCCCCAAAGGAGGTGTCCCCAGGCTGGGGCTGATTTGGGGACCCCTTGAGTCACCACCTCCAGGCGATGCCACACACCCTGTAAGCAAAGGGACATGTCTCCTCCACGCTGGGGATGTCCCCATTGTCACCAGCTCTGCACCAGCAGCACAGCACAGGGGATGGCAGTGGCTGGAGGTGCAGGGTCACCAGCTCCTGTCACCCTCACTGGCAGGGGACAGCCACCCAGTGCTGGCCCCAAAGCCTGGCTATGGCAGAGTGGCCTCTGGGCTCCATCTCCAGAAATGACACTTTTTAAGGAGGCTGTGACCCAATTTTTTCTTGGGGAAGGAAGCAGGAAGAAAACAACAAGCCCCTCCCAAGCCTGCTCCCCCCCGCCCCCCCCGAAGTGTGGGAGCAGGGAGGACACTCAGAGCCATGGAGGTTGTTGAGAGGTGGGTGCTCCATGGAAAAAGATGGGTGCCCCTCCAAAAAAAGCCATGGAGAGCTGTGTGCCCCCACCCCAGCAGAGCCAGCAGCCCCACAGAGAGCCTTGCAGAGAGATGGGTGCCCCCCCAGGCCATGAGGACACCATCCTGGAGCACTGTGGGGTAGGGGACACACAAAGGCTGGCCCAAGCTCCTGGCCCCCTCCTCAAGCTGAACAGCTTCACTGAAATCGGTCCCAGACCCTCTCCCTCCATCTCTGGGATGAGCTGAGACCTGAGAAGCTCTTAACACATGTGGGCAGGGCTAAGCCTTTAAATATAGCCCAGCTGCTCAGCAGAAATCCTTGCCTTCTGCCTGCTCCCTGCCTGCAGTTCCCAGTGCAGGCAGCACTCCCTTGCTCCCTGCCTGCAATTCCCAGTGCAGGCAGCACTCCCTTGCCCTCCCACTGAGCCCCAGCTCCCCCAAGAGGGACCAGGGTCCCCCAGGGACCAGCTCCAGCTGGTCCCCCCCACAAACATTAACACCGGGGACAGAGCTTCTAAAAAACCAAGTACAAACTTTATTTTGTTTCTTTACAAAGGCAGGAGCCTCTTTTTTTTTTTTCCACTTTCTTAACAAAATAGAATAGCTTCTCAATCAACACAAAGACCTGAAAAATCGTTAAAAAAAAAAAAAAATACAAAAAAAAAATAACAAAACCAAACCAAAATTAACAACAAACCCAAAACGTAACAAAATAAAAGGGAATGGAACTGAGAAACAGCTGCAGCTTGGGGAGGGGGGGGAACCTACCAAATACCACCGAGGCTCTACACACAACTGGCCTAAAACCCTACAGCTGGGCAGGGGGCAGCAGGGGTGAGGGGGGGGGACACACAAAATGGGGACAGGGCCCCCCCCACCTGCCATGACAGACCCAAGCGACACAATCACAGAAGAGAAAAGCTCTTGGGAGCTGACGGACCCCAGGAACTGGATTTAAGTGCTTAAAGGAGGGATGGGAGTGGGACAGGGGGATGGGGAAGGGGACAGGGACACAGGTGGGGGTGTAGAGTCAGCCCCCAAACTGCCAGCCCTGTGCCAAGGAGGTGGGTGTTGAAAACACTGGGGTCAGGGGGTGTGGGGGGGTGGCAGATGCCAGCCCTCCTGCCTGTGCTCCAATGGCAAAATCCCAGGATTTGGGTTGGTTTTTTTTTTGCTCTCCAAAGGGGTTTTCCCTGCCCCACACAGGGTGTGGGAGCCCCAGTGTGGGGGCTGGCTGTATCCCAAAGTTGGGGGGGTTGGGGGGTGCCCATCCCGAGTTTGCTGCTGTGTCACTTGGCATCTCCCCCCTGCTTAAAAAGGAACATTGAATTACCAAAGGGAAAAAAAAAACAAAACACCAACACAACAAAAACAACAGAACACAAAACAAAAAAAGAGGAGGAAAAAAACCAAATTAAGATCCCAACCGAGGGCACGGTCCCCAGGGAACGGCCACCGGGAATACCGGGGCTGCTGGGAACACTGGGGCTGCTGGGAACACCGGGGCTGCCACCAGCAGGATTCCCCATGGATCAGGAGTCACCCCAGGAGCTGAAGGGTGACCTTTGCCTGCTTCTAACACTCTGCTTTACAGTATTGGAAAAAAGGTCATAAAAGAGACCCAAATCGCCTTGTATTTTTTAAAAATTTCAGCATCTTCTCCGACGTTTCCCCGCTTTCCCCCCCCAACCACCACCAACCACCGTCACCACCAAACCCCCCCCTTCCCCGGGGGCCCTGGCTCCCCTTTCCCTGGCTGCCAGTCGGGGTAGGGGGTGTCAGGGCAGTTCCCCGTCCCCCGAGGGTTCCTCTTTGCTCTGGTCCATGGAGTCACTGTCGTTGCCCTCGGTGTCGGAGGCGGTGTCGGAGGCCTCAGGGCAGGCGCGCGCCGGCGTCACGATGACCACGCGTCTCTGCTCCTCTTCCTGCAGCTGCTTCTCCTGCGTCCCCTCGATGTGCTGGATTGCCTGCCGAGGTTCCAGGACATCAGCTCTGTGTCCCCCCCCCGCCTTCACATCCACCCAAGTGGGGTTTAGGGACCACCCCACCCTTCCTTCCTCCTCTTACCTGAACGATGGTGTCCAGGTTTTGCCGGGACGTGGAGACTGTGTTGATGACTGAGGATGGGCCCATGGTGACCACGGTGACGTGATGGGAGGGAGGTGGTGCTGGAACGATCACAGTGGGGTGGTGGGTGGGCGCTGGGGGAGCATGTGATGGCAGGAGCTGGGGAAAGAAGGGAAAAAAAACCACCCCCTGGTCAGCAGGGACCTGGGCACAGCAGCGATGGGGAGAGCATCACGCTTATCTGGGAGCCCAAATGCCTTCCAAGAGCCTGGAAAAGCTGCAGCAGCAGCTTAGCTGCTCCAGTTCACCCACCCCAGATGGACATGAGAAGACACCAGTTAAAGCTGCCGTCACCTGAGCTTTGGCAGAGCAGAAACACGAGGGATTCCTCCTCGTATGCCCAAGGCAGAAAGATTTGGGCTTATAAACCAGCAGAGACAAGTGCCAGCCCTGCCACAGCCCTGGCCTGGGCAGCTGGGAACCTGCCACACCCCTGGGAGCTCCTGGTTACAAGAGCGGATGGGAAGATCCGCCCCAGCAGGAGGCTAAGGAGAGTTCACCTAAAAATAGGCTGAACTTCCCCAGGAGGCGGCCGGCAGGGACCCTGGAGCTCCGTGGAAGCCAAAGGAGGGAGGAAACTTGTTTTTTCTCCCTCCCTTTGAAGCTCTCCAGGCCAGTGTCACCCCAGGCTGAGCTTGAGGGCTGCAGTGCCAGCACTGTGCCTCCTGACTGCACCAGCCTGCTGTGAGGCTCCCCCCACTGTTGGCAACTGTGCCGGGGGGAGGAGAGGCTGGAGGCTCCTATCCTGCCCTTCCCCAGCCTGGTGGGTGGCAGGGAGTGGTTTGGGAGTCCCAGAAAATCAGTGGGAGTCACCCAGGGAGAGGTGAACCCCATGAGATGGGGCTGGGCTCTGCTCCAGCATGGGGAGCACAACCAGCACCGACCGTGGCAGTGGAGCCACAGCGACTGCTGGTGTCACCTGCCCAGGGATGGATTCACCCCCCAGGGCAAGGAAACATGCCCACTGGGAGCTGGATCCCAGCTTACCAGAGGGGGACCTGCTCTCCACCCGTGCCTGGCCAAAGCTAATCCCCCCTGAAACACCAGATACCCATGAGTGCAGCCCCCAAATGCTGCACATTCCCGTTTCCCATTCCCGAAGAGCTTTGCTGGGACACCACTGCCCATCCCAGTCAGCCCCAAGGGACAGGAGGTGCCAAGCACATCACTGAACCACCCTGACACTCTGCTTGGGAGGCAGGAGGCCACCAGGGTGTCCCCACAGGTGGGCTATGGCCAGGGTGGGCTGTGCCAGCATCTGCGCACTCACCTGTGTTCGGATCTGCTGCTCACGCTCGAGCTTCTCTTGGTGCAGCAACCTCACCTGTTCCTGCTGCTGCTGGAGCTGCACTTGCTGAGCGATCACCTTCAGCTTCTCAGGGTACATGTGGGCCTCCAAGGAGCGAACCTGCCAGCCAAGAGAGCCCTGATGTTGGTGGGGAGCCCAGCCTGCCCCCAGCACAGCACCCCCGCTCCATGCCCCCAGGGAGGACACAGCAGAGCTGGGGAGCCCACAGCATGAGCTGGTGACAAGGTGGCACCACCAGCGTCCCCAGGGGGGCCCGGCACAGGCACAGCCCACTAGAGGGCGAGCCCCCTCAACCGCTGCACAGCCAGATCCAGCTCAGGGCCTCACCTGCTCCTCCAGCATCATCCGGACCGAGCGCTCCTTGTCCAGCTGCTGCCGGAGCTCGATCATCTCCCGCCGCAGATCCTCGGCTTTCTCGTCCTCCCAGATGTCTGGGGAGCCAATCCCCTCGTCCTTGTCCTCTGCCCGTCGCCGCTTCGGGGAGGAGCCACTGAACTCCTGCAGCAGGGATGGGGTGTCAGGGGACAGGGTCCAGCCCTCATGCTCTCCCCACCATGTGGACCACATTTGGATGATGCCATCCCCCCAGCACAGCTCTCTGCAGGGAAGAGGCTCCCCAGACAAGAGACATGGGCAGCCCGTGGAGTTGGAACCTGAGGACAGATGAGCCCCTTTGTGTGCCCACCCTCCTGGTCCTCACGCCCCCAAGCCTTGTGCAAACTCACTCCTCACAGTGTGACACCGAGGGCAGTGCCACTGGGCAGTACTCCAATACCCCAAATGGAAAGTGGGAGCCCAGCCCTCCTCCCTGTGCCAGCTCAGGGATGCTGGGATGAACAGGGATCTCCTGCCCTACCTGGATGAACCGCTTGAGCTGGGTGTTCTGCTGCAGTAGCCGAGTCTTCTCCTGCTCCAGGGAGAAGATGTACTCAGCTGTCTGCTGGAGGATGGCTGCCTGTGGGAGAGTGGGAGGGACATGCTGAACCAGGTGGGACTCCAGGGTGTCCCCGAGCCCCCCCTCCTGCCCAGCTCCCTCCCTGCCCAACCAGCAGCAGCACTGCTCCTCGCCCAGCCCTGGTGTCTCCATCCCAGGTCTGCTTCTCCACTGGGCCTCCCCTGGGATTTCCACCATGGTGAACCTTCAGTTCACCCATCTCGGGAATCCAACCAGCTGCCAAGCACCACCTCCTCACCCTCCTCCCTTCCACAGGGGGGCCACTTTGCACCCAGGCACAGGCCACCCTGCTCTCAGCTCATGCATGGGCTGCTGTCACATGCACCCAGCCTGCTCCAGGCCACCAGGTTTGTGATGCACACCCGCTGCCACTGAGGACACCTCCCCAGGACAGGCCTCCGTGGCTGAATTAACACTCAAACCCCCTCAGTTACAGCCCTGTCCTGCCCGACAAGTGATGCTCCAACAGGAGTAGTGTCTTCATCCTGCCTTGCCACGGCCCCGGTGACATCCCACTCACCTTGCTGAGCTTCTCCCCGTCCGTGTGTGGGATGAGGGTTTTCAGGGACTGGAAGCCAGCATTGATGCTCTGCATCCGCCGCCTCTCGTTGCTGTTGGCGATTTCCCTGCGTATCCGTCGCTCCTGGTCCCGCTGGGTCTCCGGAGTCAGGGGGATGTTAGCCAAGCTGCAAGAGAGGTGTGGGGTTAGGGGGGAGAGGGCTTCCCCCCTGCTGTGTCCCCCCTTACTTTGCAATGATGATGCCAAGCCACCGAAGGGACAGGGAACTTGGGAGGGGACAATGACCTGAGGCCCTGGTGAGCACAAAAGCGGGTGGGTGGGTTTC